TCTAAAAATTACATTATCTTTGCTTTTTATGATAATTTTCTACCGCGATATATACCGTTATCATGAAGGGATTCAATTTATACCGTGATATGAATTTGAGGYCATACCGCCCAGCCCTAAATCACAGTAATGACTCTCACTAATGTCTTTGCATTATACCACACATAAGCAACAATTGTAGACAGGGYTTTAATTCAAGGAAATATAAAGCAGAAATTTTGAGCTGTTTTGGCATAAAACAAAACAACAAGGCCAGGTAAACACTGACACATTATTTTCTGATATGACACATAAAGGCATCCTCCAACTCAGACCTTRGTTCAGCTACAACTAACTTTACGTGTGTATTTAAGGATTAATTTAAATGAAAACTTGTCTGTCATTGAGGCAGTTAGGGCACCTTTACAGCCCAACTCTACATTTTAAAGCAACTAAAACAAAGAAAATATATCCTCAAGGTTGCATGAAATGTTAAACAACAACAGAAACTCTCAGGAGGAAACTTCACAGCAGGTCTTGAATTTATATTAAACACAAGAACAATCAAGGACTTTTATAAAGACTGAAACCTTAAGTTTAATTTTAAGTTCGAGAATGAAAACAGTCCACCCATGTTGTAACTTATAACCAGAAAAGTCTATCTACACTTTCACTTAATATTTCCAAGATAAGAAAAACATTAACAGAAACTAACCAGCGCTGTGAGAGGTATGGGGAAAAAAACTGCAAAGCAAAAGAATAAGGTGAAAAAAGACAGCCTTGTGGGTTTAATTTAAAAACTAACTGAGGTTTAAATAGCCAATAGCAAATAAGACTACCAGTTTTTGCAACATAGGATTTTGCTAATGAAACAACTGGGTTTCTATGCAATCATGCTGAAGAGCAGGGCTTCCCTTTACAACATGGTAGATAGCAAATGACTGCTGGACATTCACAAAGCTTCTTATACTGATAAAATGCTCTACAAATTCAAGTGAGGTTTTCAATTATACAAAATCCATCAATCCTTGGAGCTATGAGTTTAAGGCACATAAAAGGGTAAAATGTTAAAAACACACTGATTCGAATCAGTTGTGTGGCCAAAGCTGAGTTATTTGGAGGACTGACAGTTCAGTTTTCAGCCTGCTAGATATTCAAGTGTCATTGAGCAAGACACCGAGTCAGAGAGAGTGTCAAGTGAGAACAAAAGGTATGGCAGATGTAGAGCTCAGTTATATAACAGAGTGTGAGTGAACGAACAAATGAGAAATGCATTTTGAAGAGCAGGATTGTATAAAATGATGCAGTTAAAAAAAGTGTTATTGAAGTGCTGAACATTGAGTTAGTCGGTGTATTAGCCCTGTCTGCTCATTTTAATAATTAAGGTGGTCTACAAMCTTTGTTCTCTGGACTGCAAACTGAAGTTGGCAACAGCCAATTTAACCTAAATATATACTGTGGTTCAAATCTTTAGAAGTGGGATTTTGTAAAAAAAAATGAATAAATAAATTAAATAAAAATAAATAAAAACAAAACAAAACATGGCTATGAATTCATCTAATTATTATCTAATATATACTGTGGTTCAAATCTTTAGAAGTGGGATTTTGTAAAAAAAAATGAATAAATAAATTAAATAAAAATAAATAAAAACAAAACAAAACATGGCTATGAATTCATCTAATTATTATCTCATATATTGTAAATGGCTTAACTTTGGAAAATATAGTTTATTTTTGACCAGACTGAAAAATGAATGGCTTAGCTCCAGGGGACCAAACAAAGAGGATTATTGCCACCTTATAAAAAATAAAATAAAAAGCATTTTACAGCAGTTCCTGTAAATGTTGTTTACTAAACCTTTACATTGCTGACAGTTTATCATTAAASTATTATTTTCACTGAACTAAATGGTTATTTTTAAAAATAGCAGCAGCTGGCTATAAGAGTTTTGGCAAAACATGTGCCAGTTCCTGTAGGAGTTTCATAATATATAGGCCAGAATAACCTTATAATGTGAAATAMACAGCAATGTAAATGTTTMYAAAATACTGTTCAAACAAGCTGCTATGAAATTAATTAAGCTTTTGTTCTTAAACCACAGCTGTTAGCTTGTTAGTCTGATCAGAATTCAACTTTAAACTGATGTCAATTAAAAACCAGTCTACAGCAGGTAAGATGTTAATTGTTTATACACAACACAAGCTAAGTTATCTCGTAGATTTTGAAGAGGCTCACACACGAAAAGTTTCTGAAAACATCTGAAGAAACTCAAGAGTTTGCTTCATTTAAATGACAAGAGAGTCTTTACAGTAACAACCGTAAACGCTAAAACACACACAAAGCCACGATCACACAAAATACCTGATGGGAGAGGTTTTTCTCTCAGCAAGCCAGAGATGGTTGCCATAGCAGCCGCTCCATTAAGTTGACTGTAGGAGTGCATTAATCTGACCCTGCAAGCTCCAGAACCAACATCATCTGAGCCCTGGACCAACAGGAAGTAGACATCACGCTCRCCTTTCACCTCGACATCAGGCACTGCAGGAAGAGGCAGTAAGGACAGGAATTACTGTATATACAYAATCTGCCAGTAGTAGAGAAGAAATTTATCATTTGATCAACTTTTTTCTTTTTTTTTTACATTTGATCATCTAAGCCTCAAAAATACTGAATCCTTCCAGTCTAGATTCATCAGACAAGCATATGTTGTAATATATTTAGTCAGCTAAACTTCAGGTTTTAATTCTCARCATATATTTTAATAATTTTGTTCAGCCGTTTCAAACAGCTAAATTTAGAAAATTACATGCTACGCCTCTGTTGCTGCCATTCACCTATTTCTTATAAATAAAAACTTGGGGAAAAAAAGTGTTACCGAGAACGGACTTTGGTCTCCTGGCTAAAGACTCTTTCCAGCGCTGGGAGCTCAGTTGGTTGGCTGAAGGTTGAGCAACAGGAGTGACTGTACAGGACAGGCTGAACAACGCTCCAACCTGAAGGTAGAAATACACCAAATAAACATACGGCCATCAAACAACGAACGTTTCCTGTCATCTTCATTTCTTAAAGATATTCTGATTTTGTAGGTGTGAAGCCAAGAAGTCCAGTGTGCAGTCTTGTGTTTTCTCAACATATATTTCACATATCTTCTAATCTCTCTTTCACGCTCTCTCATTACATTTCACTTGTTTCTTTCTCTTTCTTTTTCTCCTATTAAAAAAAAGCCACTGGTGATTAGGGGTGTAAGAAAAYATCGATACACTGAAATATCGCGATATTTCATTTYCCGATACTGTATCGATATTCTAAAGCCCTGTATCGATTTTTTTATTAAGGTTTAAAATGTCAACTTTCCTGCCARCTGTTCATTTTTATGTTGTAGTTCAGCCTCTGACCACTAGCTGGCAGCAGTGAGCCAGCCATTTGGCTCCTCTACCTCTTGAGGTAGAGGCCATTGTTAAGTTTTGGGTGACCATATTGTAAATTAATATTAAAAACTAAAAGCTGCAAAAAATATATGTTCAAACTATTTATTGTCTAATTTAGTCTAATAATTGAAAACATGGATGAAATAAGAAATATGAAACAAATAAAATAAAACACACACAAGGCAGAACACAGCTAAATGTATCAAAAGTATGTCTATGTAATAGAATTTTCTGAGACAATGAATTTTGGTTTTTCATTTTTCCCCCCAGTAAGAGGTTTTTATTTAATAGAATTTTTGGACAAAAAAATTGCGATATTGCTTATAGTATCGCAATATATTGGGATATATCGTATCGTGACCCCTCTGTCATGATATGTATCGTTTCGCCAAATTCTTGCCAATACACAGCCCTACTGATGATGAAGAAGCTAAGACACTAATATTCATATATTCAGTTCTGCTTTCTACTGAAGTGGCAAAAAAAAAATATTCTGAGAAATATTTCATTTATAACGATAACTAGAAAGAACACAAACATTGAGCCGTACTTTTCCTCGAAGTGACCTCAGCTGGTCCAAGAGAAGTTCCGCTTTCTTTGACTTCCCCGACAGGCCTCTTTTTGTTGGTCGTAAAGGAACAATTCAACAAGACTTCTACATTCTTCTTCTGCATTTTTTTACTGTCATTGTTTGAATCATCTGTGGTTGCTTTTTATCTTATTTAAAAAAACGGATCAGAACAAAATAATTTTTTGTAACCACATCTSAAAACCTTAAAAACTAAAATAAATATGAAGAATCTTTATTTCCATGACTATATAATAATGTAATAATGTAGCGGTCATAGTCCTAGTCTTTTAGAGCAATGATTCTGCACATGAAAAGCTTACATCATAATGTTTTGGAGTTCACACCGTTATGTTTGTACAAACACAAATGTGAGGATACAGTTCAAACTGAGTGTTGGACATCAGGAAGCTGGGCAGGTCTGACAGATCAACCAGCTGAACCAAATCCAGAACTGGTGCATAGTACTGGAAGACCTGCAAAACCAGGACAAACAGAGAGTGGGTCTGATGACCACAACAGACAGAACTAAAAGAAAAAAAGAAAAAGATTTGTGAAAATCAACAAAAATAAAAYAAACACATTTTCACACAGATGGAAGTGGTAATTGAGGTCTGTGGGGCAGCAGCTTCAGGATTTGAAAACCCTCCATCAGCAGAATGACAGAGCTTCATGGTGGTCTTTAGCAGAATAACCATATGTTTGTCAAAAAATGAACTCTAATTCTGATTATTTGATTTTTATATAAACACATTCTTCTACAAAACTCTCTACACAATTCTCTAAAGGAATAATCTCTGGACATACAAGTTGAGGCTTTAAAAAAACAAACAAACAAACACGAACAGACATTTACTAACACTGATCATGCTAACAGGCAGAAAGATGTATAAAATAATATTGATTTATATTTGAAGCTGATCATCAAATAGAAGCTGTATATAGAAAGTAACACGTGTATCACAACTTTTTACATTTTTCTGTGAGCTCCATGCTCACTGAGCACAAGTGACTGCCTTTGTACATGAATCTGTCATTTATCTTTTAAAAAAGTTTTATTTTCTGAACATTGTTTCAGTTTTGCTACATGTGTTTTCAAGTGAAAGTTATTCTCCAGTCATTTCATTATCACATCTCAGCAGGTGCTGAGATGTGATAGTCTGTTGTCGTCAGCGTAGTTTTTTTTTTATACCAAAACAATCATTGCCATCTGCTTCTCTGTACAAGAGTCTGATGAGATCACAGACACACACTCCCTGTCTCATTCTCCATGGACGAGCAAATGAGCCGAAATAAAACACACACCTGAGTAACAGAGCAGTCTTAACTCATTATAAAGCACATACACTTYGAACATAGACTAAATAAAAGCACATATATTACAGGTATAAAAAACATAAATGTCTTTCTGTATTATAATATTAATTGCTTGGATTCTTCTTTTTATGTGTTTAATGTCAGAAACTGTCTAAACTGTGTTTATTACTTTTCTAATACAACTMAAGTCTGCCCATGTGTTTATGTGCATCTCAAATCAGCCTGTAAATTCTTGTGGGAGCRCTCCTGTGAGCTTTTATTTTTATGCTTATTAATCTACATAAGAAAACCCATTACTGCACTATAGTAGGCTATATAATAAAAGTGTTGTCAAAAACATTGTCATACAAACAAATGAGCGCATTTAAAGAGAATGTTTTATAGGAAATAATACACGCCAACAATATAACAGCTGCATGTAACAACAGTAATTTTTTTTATAAATTAGCTCGTAAAAAAATAACACTCCACAGTTACAATTCATCTGAGCTGGTGGTTGTTGTAGCAGAAGAATTAAAAGTGAGCTGCAATTTCAAGAGTGGCAAAACAATTATATTGTCGCTTTCTGAAGAATGTTTCTCACTGTTTTCTTGGAACTACAATAAAAACACAACGTTACTCACAAGAGTTATACACAAGATTAAGATTAAAATAATTTAGCTTGGATGATGTGAGAACCTGACAGCTACCTTGGAAAATGTGCAGGTAATGTACTGTACAACTGGGCTGATGTGAAGGAGGCAAACATTAAATAATAAACAACTATGATGAGTATAAATGTGGATAATGTTTGACGTTTTATCTCCTTTTCTGCTTTTCTTTTTGTTACAAAACATGGAGGTAAAATTTGTCTTTATAAAAGCAAAAACATTCACTTTTTATTAGTAATCATTTAATAGCCAGACCCTCATCATTCCAGTTCAAGACAATCTGCAACGAGAATGCAGCAAACAGATCAGATTTTTATTTAGCATAATTAACCAGGTTCAGAACTAGATACATTTTTGGGTTCATGTGTAGAAAAAAAAACTTCAATTTCAATGCAAGTATTCATAAAACTAGTACTTTAATTTTGTAAATCAAGTAGTAGTTTGACAAATAACTATTTAAAAAATATATTTTGATGGAACTTTAGTCCGATCAAACTGCACTTTTTATTACCGTGGCTTCAAAATCGAGTTAAATCGAATAAATCGAGTTCATGTTTTGCTTTTAATAACAGCAATAAATTTAACAATTGACTAATAAAATGAAAAATAAGTTTTATAAATTGAATCCTTTTAACATTGTCTAGTTTTTCTAACTGCAGGGATCCTCAAAGAACATTTCCAAAGTCTTTTGAATAAAAAAAAAAGAAAAAAAGCACAGGTATTTTTGAGGTTTCAACATTTGAATGAATATAACTCAATAAATTTTCAAACATGAAAAATAAATTACAGTTTTTATTAATTCAGTCGATTTTGCCTGTATTATTACCGATCAGGCAGTTTTTAATGTTCAGGACAACAAAAAAGTCCATAAATTGGAATTTTTAAACATAACTCTCATCATGTGAATGTTCACCAGTCCAAATGAGATTACAGTAATAAAACTTTTAAAGCAGGACACTTATTTATATAATCATTACATTCAAATGATATATTTTTTTTAAAAATGCACACGTAGTCATTTGCACAGTACAAAATTACATTTTCTTTTTGCCAAACTGACAGATTTCTCCCCTAAAATGAATTCTCCATTCAAAGAGATTATACTTGAAAGATTTCAGCTTATTCACATTTGTTTTAACATTTTAGAATATACTGAAGTATGTTTGTACAGTTACGTCAAGTCTGGTTACAAATAAGCAAACAAGTATCCTGTACCTGTCTTGTAAAAATGTCATGAGTGTCAGGGAGAAAAACGKTCAGCACCTATTTGGTCAAATAAAACACATTTGGTTTGTTCCCGCTGATGGTCCCAGGTTTGATAAAAAGGCAATCAGGAAGTGGTCATTTTGACCTCATCTCCTTGTGGCTGTAAGTCATTAGAAGATGAACCTCCTTTTACTGAACAGCTGGGAGATTTGATGGGGACAACTAAGATTAAGGGAACAATTTTAACAGTAAATAAAAACCTAATCACCATCTACTCATCTCACTCCATCCATCAAAATGTTCCTTAGAGATTAGACATAAGCACATTAATACAAAGATACTTTATTGTAGTCTGTTTTTCTAGCTATGAAATTTAAAAACCCACAAAACTGCTCCATTTCTCAATCCAAGGCATTCACATTGACAATCCTTTGATTAAATGCACACCCTACAGCATTGTGGCAAAAGACTCTGTTTACTACTTGAGGCACAAATCTGTGTCGGGAAGAACAAAAAATAAAAAATAACAAATAATTCAGATGTTGGAACCACAAACTGAAACAAAACAGTGATTCACTCTGATTAAAACTTCATTATAAGAAGCACATTCTGAATTCGGTGTGATCCGCTCCTTTTAATTAGCTTTGATGCTGGACGACAAAAGGGGCAGCGATGCAGAAAGTTTGGGTTTTCAGAGACTTACCTCAGAGTTTAGTCTGTGATCTGTAGTGGTGTAAGGGGCTTGCAAGAGGCTTGACTCTGATGTCTGATGCACAGGAAAGCTCAGAGAAAAGCCATCAAAGCGGAGTTCTGATACATACTGATGCAAACACACACATGGAGAGGAAAAAAAAGTATATGATAAATTACTCAAGTTCTTTCTCTGCAGAATGGATAAACACAACTGTTTGGTTTCTTGTAGCGCGCTGCATTAAATAAAAACCCTAACATTTGTAAAATAATTCATATTGCCTCCTATCTTTCATGCCAGAAATTCAATCTAACATAATCTTATTATAAGAAATGATGACGTTCTAGCTCTTTTAGTCAAATCCTTTAAAYAACATTATGCAAACTCTTAATCCAGGGGTGTCCAATACTGGTCCTTGAGGGCCACCAACCTGCATGTTTTACTTGTTTCCCCGCTCCAACACACTTGATTCAGTGGTTGAATTATCTCTTCAAGTTCTACAGAAGCCTGTTAATCACCCATTTCTTCAAACCAGGTGTGTTGGAGCAGAGAAACCTCTAAAACATACAGGAGAGTTTGAATCTCCTTTGTTAATGTTAGTTGGCCACCTTGAACTGGATAGACTCCAAAAATTGTTTAGTTCTTCATCAAATCATTATTTTTGGGTAGTTTTATTTTAATCTGCCCACTGTTTCATGAAATACRTATGTAACCCATCACATTGAACAGAGGATCAAGTCCCTAAGTGTTCTGTGGAGAAATACAGTAGGTAGACGTTTGATTTAAACTTTTGCAATAATAGCATTTTGTCAAAATATAATGAATAGATGCCTCATCAATGTATCATTTGAATGAACCATCTGAAATATAAGAATTTTTTGAAGAACTTGTTGAGTAGTAGCAACAAAAAGCCTGACTTTGAGCAAAAACACCTTAATATTTTGATAATGGAACTGCTCAAGATATCCTTAAATAGCAGGAATTTGAAAATGTGCTGAGATTAGTTTGACGAAATTTGACTTAATTCTTGGTTTTATGTGATGGGCCACATATTTTGCCAACAAACACGCCAAGATGTGCAAAGAACATTATTGCCTGCCTAACAATATGTATGTTATGTAACTGACATGCATATTACAGCTACTGAAGGCATATGGCCATGAACACAACTATTACATGGCAGTGAAGTGATGCAAAGTTGTTTGAGATGAGTTTTTTACTCCTTAGGGAGTTCCTCTTTGTTCCACCCCTCCAGCTGGGAACCTTTTACCAACTGACAGCTGGAGCCGACGTACTTCTGAAGGCAGCAGCTCAGAAAAGGTCACTTTCACGAAGGAGACTTTGGATGCTTGCCTCAGCAYACTCGCATCAAAACAGACATGGCAGGCATGGCTGAAGAACCATTTTCTCCAGCACACAACACTATTACCAGCAGACAGGAGTTMGGATGTAGACTGATGAGCCATAACATTAAAAGATTGAGGAACTCTGGTAATGGTGCAACTCAAAGTTCTGATGGGAAAAACTGCATCTTGGTGGAGTTTAAGGTGTTCACTGCAACCAAACCATTAAGATACCATTTTTTTAAGAACTAAGCAAGCTCAAATCCAGAGAGATTGCACGCCCCAACCAACACGGCTAAAAGATTTAAAGCCAACACCCCTCTCATTCGGATAACAATTTCATTCTGATCAGGCTTAATCAGATCAGAATATTCCAATTAAGGGCCTTTATATGACAATTTTATTCTGATTGGCTGTTTATTTTGATTACTTGTGGACAAAGTCATTGTAGAGGTAAAAAAAATTAGTGAACAAACTGGCAAACTGCATTGTTTATAAATTGCCTCCAACATATCCTTGGCATATCTGCAATATAATTTATTTTCACCAACAATGCAAAACKAATTATCTAATGCTAATTATGTGTTTATCTACAAAGAAGATGTGAGGAAGACTGAAGGCACTGACTTATTGCTAGGTAACACTACATTGCACAGGATCTGCACTAATTAGCAGAGAACACCTGCGAGCTTCAAGCTAAAGTTCACCTTCTTAACAGAGTTAGGCCCAACACATTATGTTTCAGGCAATCTGTTCATTCTGTGTGTGTGACCTTGGCCACAAGCAAGTGGTGCATAGTTTGATTTGAARAAGTTTTGCTGGTATTAGAACTTTGTGGCATAATGTAATAGGTCTGTTGTTTAATCATTTGATTTATAATTGTAGATCATAGCTGTATTTAGTGTTTAGAGACTCAAGGTTGTAGAAACTTTGTTTTGTTTGAAGATTTTTAAACATTATGTGAAGGGATTTGTCAGCTGGTACTGATTCTGAAGAACTTTCATGGTATTCCATGAATAATAGTAGTGATAAACATCTGTGAATTATATTCTGTTTCTAATATAAACCTMTCTTCTGTGTCCTTAGAAGACACACAACATTTATGACCTATCTGCAAAACCTTCACCACAGAAGACAAACTGGTCTTTTCTCATCCACCAAAGCTGTTGAAAATCAAAAGAACCTAATCATGTAAAATCAATACTTAATAAAAACGTCTAGGCCAAAATTAACTGTAAACTATTTGGGCTGGAATGCAGCTTGAATTTATCAATGTAGCAGCGACAAACAATTTCTGCATTTCATGATTTTATCTGAAGAAGAGTAAACCATTTTCACACATCAAGGCAGAAAATCTTTGGAAAAAACAAACATTTTTAGTTGATAACATGGATTATCATGTAAAAAAAACACAAGGCTGTTTGAATCATTTGGATCTCTAGTGAGATGCRATCTTTTTTTTCCAATTTTTGTTATTTATATGTATTTAAAAGCAAAAAACTACAATTTGATTCATCCCTGGATATCACAGATTCAAAAACAAGCTGTTCAGTCTTTAAAATGACCAGAAACTTGGAATAAAAAAAACACAATCAGAGCCAAACTACAAAACACAACTAGCAAAACATGTAAGTATCAAAGTCTAAACTGGYCCAGAGACAAATAACTTGTTCGCCTGCAGGAGTTTATTCAGAAAAGAGTATGAACTGAGAACCAGAGAATAAGCAGCAAAATGTCATCTCACCTCTGTCTAATTGTAGCAAAGTATCAGTAATAGGAAATGTGTACAGTTCTGTGAATTTTTTTTATTTTATTTTTGCGATAGGAAGTTCAGCAAAGTTATCAAAATTCGTAAAAGTCTCTCTTTTCCCACACGATTTTGTAGTATCTGGTCACATAAATGTGTTTTCTTGTTAGGCACAGTAAATCAAAAACAACATATATTGTGATAGACACATGGTCAATATCAATAAAAAAATTAGTCCAATAAAATGTTGATAATTTCACTGAATCACACGGCATTCTGGGGGATGTAGGCACAGGAAAAGCTTTAGCTGCTCGACCTCTCACAGCCCAGATAAGCAAAGWTGGTGGCATCAACTCACTCACTCTTTGGAAGCTAGCAACAACCTGTTGAGCAACATGTAGCAGTTTTGTGTTTCACCACCTCATAACTGCTTCAAAATAAAAAAGAATGACGTGGAGTGAAAGGAGAAAATAAAGCAAGCACTTGAGAGGAAAACGTGGATAAAAGAGGAAAGGCCACGTCACCACTTAGGCAGGATTGATCAGTCTTTTGTCTCCTGGTCCTTATTTCAAATAGAAAAAAAACTAATCAATGGTCAATAATATCAACTACCGGTAATTTGAAATGATTGTATCCTGACACATTTTCAGCTATATCRCCCAGCCCTATTTTCTTGTGGTCATGACTACAAGACTCAGGATTAAAGTCTGGGCTCCGCACAGAACAAACAAAGTTGTTTTTTCATGAACCTAAATAAACTGCCTTTGTAATCTAGACTAATCTACAGAAACGTACACCAGAAGGAAGTTATACATATTCAGTAGCTCACAAAAGTGAGATACCTTTATGTACTRTATATTTTATTATATCTTTTCATGGGTCAACACTGACGATATGACACTGACACAATGTAAAGTAGTCAGTGTACAGCTTGTATATGTGTARGCCTCTGGCAACAAAACTGAGATATGTACTCACTTTTTGTGAGATACTGTGTAAATAAAACCATTAAACTGACACTTTTATGCAATTCTGTGGTAGCTTTCTGTCTTTAAAAAATTATCGTACCAGATTTTTTCTTCTATRCAACTTAAATAGAGCTGGTTTAAGCTCTACACACACTGAAGCCAGTTTGGTCAAAAAGAAGAATTTGTGTAAAGGGGAKGAGTTGGAGCAGGAGAGGGATTTATGAGTTACTTAGTAATAAAAAAGCCACAAATATGAAAACAAAAGCCTGAGTGCATTTTGGCACAAAGAGAAGGAGCTACAGTCTCTGCAAAGACACCACAGCAACTTTTTATTTCAGATTTTTTAATTCCCACATATTGTCTTTAWCTGGTATGTAACAACAGCACTGCTCCCTGAGTGCAGACAGAAACTGCTCTGAGACATTTTCTGCACAAGAACCTCAACGTGGTGAAACAGTCAACTGCAACTAACTTCTAATGGAGCCATTCTCATGGATTAATCATGGCAAACTGGGCAGGACCAGACCAGACCGAGTCAGAGTCTGCCATGGTAATGCTGACAGCACAAAGATATTTCCCATGACCCTTCAATGACCTGAAGCAATTCCTCCAGATTCATTCAGCAGCAGAGACAGACTCTCCCCTCATGGAGACAAAAATTCACTCCATGAGTAAATGTGTGGACATTCATCTTATTCCTCTGACTACGCCCTTTTAAAGTTTCAAATTCATTTCTCACCTCAAATTCTTAAAGAGATGATGTTACTTTTGTACTGCCTTCACATCACAGAACAATGTGCTTTAATAAATGAGTAAATATTGGCTTTAAAATGTTCCTAACATTACAGGTAGAGTTGGCCAGATCATTTTCAGGCCGCGGTACAACCTTTAGAAAATACCGCAGTATTACAGGAGGGTATGGTCYGTGGCTTGCTGAATAATTAAAGAAACGGCTCCTTGTGAGGATTTACATCCATATATGTCCTGATGCATCTCAGTAATCCAGGTAGAAATAAATCAAAAAGAAAAAATAAGTAGGTCCTCTGGATGGGTTCTTCTTCACCTGAAACTCATCAGACTGAAGAAGTCTCTTGGAGGAGAGACRAAACGTTTCACTAAAGAAGACATCCAAACTAATAAGTCAGGTGATGGGACACATGACCAATGAACAATAGAGCTAATCAAGCCTATTGTTAGGCGATGGCCCTCTTTTGCATGTGATTAAATAGAGCTAATAAAGCCTATTGTTAGGCGATGGCCCTCTTTTGCATGTGACTAACCTCTTTGTCCATCATGTGGAGGCAGTGCTTTTAAGGCTGAGTTCACCTGAAACTCATCAGACTGAAGAAGTCTCTTGGAGGAGAGATGAAGCGTTTCACTAAACAAGAACCCATCCAGAGGACCTACCGTATTTTTCGGACTATAAGCCGCACTTTTTTCCTGAACTTTGAACCATGCGGCTTATACA